TGACATCATACCCCATAAGACATCGATGGCATGGTAATATAAATAATTGAATAATTGAAAAGGTCTAGGTTAGTAAAACTTCTACAGAAAGGATGCTCCATTCGGAAAGCAGGAAACTCGACCGACCAGACAGCAGTAAATAATTATGTAATATTAATGAAATTCCTTGCTAATGGCAATGAACATAATCTCATTATCAAGTTAGTAATTAGATATCAGTTCCAATTTAACACATTCTAAAATACTGTATCCCTTTTGATTAAATTTCGCACAAAGATACATAGATACACGGATATTAATACCCGTGTGACGGATATAAGATTGGTTAACAAGTGATATGATAATATTATGTATTATGATATTGAATTAGTTATTGTTTCGGGGTCTGGGTGTAAATATGTGGTAGTATAGGTATGTTTGTAAATGTATCCACGAGACTAGATAAGATCTTAGCGTTTGCGTACGGCGCGTCGCGTTCCGCGCGCTCCTCAAAGAGCCATCAGACCACCACAGATGGGGCCCAACAGGGCCGACGCCGATTTGGAGCGGAGAAGCTAACGGGTTACCGGGGCTCCGTCTCGACGTGCAGGAGAAGGAATGGGGTGGTTTTTAGTCAGTAAGAGTCTGACACTCTCTCCCGCCTCACCTAGGCGGAAGCAGTCTTAAGAAAAAAGCATAATTGTCCACGTTGCGTCATTTGACAAATGCGTGCATTCTTCACACACAATAGGCGGCCCACAAATGACAAATGCTTGCATCTTGCTTAGAAACCACCAGACGAGGCAGGGCGCCACCTTTATATGGTGGACATTCCACTCATTCAAGCTTCCTTGTGCAAACCGCTAAGGAATGGAAATCCTTGCCGGAATCTGTTTTCCTATAAATATAACTTGAGTGTCTTCAAGTCCCGAGTGAACAGGTTGCTCATAGGTAGGCGTGCTCCATCGTCGGCCACATCATCGCTTACCACCAAGCGAGATGGTGGTCAAACGTCGACCTATATAAAAAAAAGAAACAATGAAAACTGTCCACGAAGCGGTAGCCACATATCCGCCTATCGTGTGTAACGACTTCAAAAAAAGGAGGAGGTACTATGTTTGGATAATTTTTTTATGTATATTCGCCGATTCCGCTTATTGTGGATCGATTTTCATATTTCTTCTTTTGTTTGTAAGGTCCCAACTTCTTACCTATCAGTGTGTGAGTAAATTATCAGTGCGTATGACTAAAAAATAGTTATTTTTTTAGATTTTTTGTTTAAGTCGGTTTTTACGTTAAACGCTACGTGGACAGTAAGGCTTCAACGTTGCTGCATTGCTTTCTTAATTTAAATAGTTGTGATGAAACGCTTTCGTAAACTGTTGGACGTAGGCCTCTTCCATAGCGCGCTACTGAGCGCGATCTTCAGGTCTTCTCATTCAATCAGTGACATAGATTACTAGAGTAAAGGTACTATACTAGGTCCTATATGACAATTTAAAGCACGAAATCATGCTTCAATTTAATGTTGTTCACAATAAGCATGCTCATTTTGGGGCATCCTTGCGAATCAACAGATGTTGGATTTTTGAGCATGCTCAATGTAACGCTTTTTAGCATTGTATTTTATGACTGATGGACTGCTGGCGATACGAAGCCTCGGAGGGCTCAACGGGTTGCCGGGGCTCCGGTTCGTAGTCCTGTAGTAGGAACGGGGTGGTTTTTAGTCAGTAAGAGTCTGACACTCCCTTTTGCCTCACCCGGGTGCGAGAAGTCATTCGATGATTTTCCCCCCTTAAAAAAAGCATGTTATTTTGCAGCATGTGTAACAGTATATTTACGATGGAGTTTCTTGCTCGTTCTTCTCCGTACGTATCTACATTTTGGAACGAGCACCTAGCTTTACTGATGAACAGACCAAAACGGGGTATTCAATGTTTGATCTAATATTGCCTATTGAAATACATCTTTGAGATTTTTAACCAACAATAAGGCAGTCTTAATGAATTAAATAGGCGCTCTTAAATAATTAAAATGGCATACATATATATTATGAAGTGTCTGTTCATTATCTTTGTCATTGAAAATACCGACTGATTAACTCGTCGAGTACCGGTTTTGTAGACACAATTATAGAACAATAGGTTGCGGTCACCGGTGACCGCTTGGTGTTTGACAGTTTAAAGTATTAGCTATTTGTTAAGAATTTCATTGTCGCTTACAAATATGGAATTATTATGGACTTGAAATATTTAAAAGAACACCTGTCTTAATATTAGATTTAGGCTGCCGTTCGTTTAGTGGCCTCCACTCGAGAACCTTGCCCCAGTGGCCGTTGCGCTATGCCTGCCTTGCCCACTGCCACTTCAACTTGCTAATCCACTGGGCAAGCTCAGCGTAGGACGTCCATCCGCAAGGTGGACAGACGACCTAATTAAGGTCGCAAGGAGTCGCTGGATGTAGATGCAGGTCGCTTCCAACCGGCATATCTGGAAGTTATTGGAGGAGGCTTATGTCCAGCAATGGACGTGCTATGGCTGATATGATAATGATGATAATAGTTTAGTGGGCGCACGCTCGTCTCCTGAACGAAGGGTGTCCAGTTTAGTCCCCGATTCCGCTGAAATATGGAGTTCGGAATTATTCCCGGCGTATGGAGAAAATTAGAAATAATTTATTTGATAATATGTAGTAATGGCAATGGGATCTGTATTACACGAGAATTATTTTAAAATAACTGACGGAATGTAAATGTGTTACGTGTTAGTTAACGTGTTTATAAATTCCGTTATATAAATGTGTAAGACCTAGAAAGCAGTGGCGTGCAGTCCATATAGGCGAAAAGGCTTTGCCTACCTATAAATATCGTGAATATATAACATACATAAAATGTACAAACGCGTTTATTAAAATTCAATAATATAATAAAAGTTTGTAAAAAAACGGCTAACATAAATACGCGCCTTTGTAAAGTAATGAATGCGCCCCGCACGCACCACGCATGCGCCACTATTCCTTAAATCTTGGTTGGCAGTAGTGACGTCACAAAAGAAATGTACCAAAAGTATGCACCGCGCATGCGTGAAGTTCACGACCATAGTCACGGTACAGAATAACCATTCATAATTATATTACACGATTCCTGTTGATTGACAAAATGTTTGCAACTAAAAAATTAGAGGACCGTTCGTTCATCACTTGGAAAACGATCGTATTTTATTAAGAATTCTAAAACAATAAAACAGCAACAAGTTATTGTATTTTTAAAAACAATTAAATTATAAAAGGTTTTAAATTGATAAAATCTGTATATCGTAAAGTACTGATGAATGGAGTACATCAGCGCCATCTATTGAATTTTTTGTTGAAACTTCTGAACTCGTTCGATATAATGCGAATGTATTTTTATAAATGCGTATTTAACAAATATGTTTCAAGTGTTTTAATTAAAGCTTAACATTTTTACGCGTTGTCGGTTTATAGAAATTTTAAACGAGGAGTTGACTTTATTATTATAAAAGTTAAAAGGAAGTTATTGAAACTTCAAGATGGCGCCATTTACAACGTTTCAAATTATATGAATGAATGTTTTTTAGTATGAAATATTGGTTTAAGACGATGATGCAATTTCATTTGACTTACTAAATTAACCTTTGTTTTTTTTAAATTAAACGCTGCATTACCTTAATTTTTAAGCTACATTTTTTTATAATAAACACTCAATTGACTATTGGTAATGACTTCAATTCGTTTCCAATGTTTTCGGCCATATTGTTTTCATGTGATGTGCGATCGCTTTGTTTATGTTTTCGTTTAAATTATTAGGAATTAGTTTTAAACATAAAGTTGCATAAATGTGTAGTAGTAGTTAAATATATGTGTAGGTTTTTCAAATAGTGTATTTGTTTATCAGTTTCTAGTACAAGTACCTATATTATTCGATTGTGAAGTGTGTGTGAATAATAGGTAATTTTATGTGTTTGTTGAAAGTAAAAACAGTAAGATTTCGCAAGAAAATGTCCTTTATCGGACTAGATTCAGGTAAAGACCATAGGCAGAGGTGTACTCGAGTTACGAGAATTGACCCAAGTAAAAGGTAGGTAATGTAAATATGTACTATAATGGATCTTTTATTTGATTTTCTTGTTTATTGTTTGATAATTCTTAAAAATATCAACTTAGACTTCGGGTTGTACTGATTCACATATTAATTTATTATTAATAATTATGTAATGTAGTAATAACATATGTACCGCATAGACTCGGCCGGCTCGGCCACAGCCGGCCGCGCTTGTTATTGTTTTGTTTGTTGACATAATGTAGGTACCTACGCTCTTAAATTCGTAATATATTATGATTTTGAACAGATTGATTAAACTAAACAATTCCATAATGAAATTTGGTTCATCAAATTTATGCCTTATTATTAAAATAAATAATAGATCCTTCATTATTTGTAAGTTTTGTTGGCTTATTCAATAGCTGATGAAGTACTTCACAAAAAATACGCGAGTTGTCAGTGTATGTAATTTGGCGAAAGAATACACCACAATATTCTTGAACGTACTTTTCGAAATGTATTATGTACATGTACCTATCTTGTGTGATCATGATTGTATGACCGGCGGGGGGGGGGGGGGGTTTAATCATACGATATTTAGTTGCCTACCCTGTCTCGAAAACCTGTGCACGCCACTGCTAGAAAGAGGTTCTTTTCTAAAACAAAACATAACATAACATCACGCCTTTTATCCCCGAAGGGGTAGGCAGAGGTGCACATTATCCCTCTGTATAATGTAACACCTACTTTTCACAATTTATGTTATGACTTATGAGTTCCATATAGGGGGTGAGCCTATTGCCATATACCGGGCACATTTCCAGACTCCGTTCTTTATCCGACTTTGCCCGACCCGGGAAACCCGAGACCCCTTGCACAGCAGTCGTACTTGCGACCACTCTGCCAACGAGGCAGTCAGAAGCCAAAACAAAACATTGTAGAATATTTTCCTTTCTTCCAGGATTGCGGCCACAACGCGACCTACGAGGTGATAACGTCCTACACAGCATCCGACCCGACGATATCGGTCGTGCGACAACCGGACTTGTCGGAGATCGTCCTGCCGCGCGTCAAAGTGAAGTTTCGAGGCTACTATAAGATTGCCAGGCATTACAAGTTCGCGCTGAACCACGTGTTCGAGACTCTGGGACATGAAGCTGTTATTATTGTCGAAGGTTAGTATACGTCAGCGTCATCACCAGCCTATAAGTGGCCACTGCTGACCAAGGGCCTCTTCTCACATGAAGAAGGTTTGAGCAATCATCACTTTGAGGAAAATCATCGAATGACTGCTCCCGCCTGGGAGAGGCGGGAGGGAGTGTCAGACTCTTACTGACTAAAAACCACCCCGTTCCTTCTCCTGCACATCGAGCCGGAGCCCTTTTTTTAAAGGGTTACCGAACCCTTTAGGTTCTCCGCGACGCGGGATGACAGTATAAGTACTAATCTCTAACCCCCAATGGGCCGATTAGTAACAAACTTGTGAAATTAAAACGAAAATTGGTATTGACGGTTTCAGTAGCATATTCACAAAATTCCACCGTATCAGTTGGATAGAATAATAATTAAAAAGGTTTTTGCATTAGAGGTAGGTACCTATTGGATTGTTATTCAGTTAAAAACAAATTGTTCCAACTTTTTCTTTTTCAATACAATAAAGTACCTATTTAAAAATAATCTCGTGATGCCGGCAGAGTACAAAACATTAGTCATCACTTCTGACGGCGCAGCGAGTTGACGGTAAAACCACGGTTGAGCACTAGAAATAGTATATTTCTAAAAGTTACAAAGTAAGTATAAGTTGGCCAATCCGGGCCAAATGCAATTTGTCAAATACAGTTTATTGTTCAGTGAATATTGTTATACTAGCTACTTCCGCGCGGTTTCACACGCTCTGCTCAGCTTCTATTGGTCGTAGCGTGATGTTTTATAGCCTATAGCCATCCTCGATAACTGCGCTATTCAACACAAAAAGAATTATTCAAATCAGACTTGTAGTTACGGAGTTTAGCGCGTTGAAACAAACAAACAAAAAAACAAACTCTTCCGCTTTATATAATAGTATAAGATAAGAAGATAAGATAAGAATTGAGGTCGCTTTGTCAGCAATCAAATCGTTGTATTGCAATGTGGAGCAATGAGGGAGACGTCTTGTTCTTATGAATATCTTTGAGTATCTTAATAACTAACTTACACTACTTACTTAAGCCGGGTCCAGACGAGTGTAACGTGTAATGTAAGATTACGTGTAATTTAGCATCAACAGTGTGGACGGCACACGAACTCAAAGCGAATTGTGAACGCGAAAATATTTCAAAAGCTGTTTTCACTCAGTTGCTACGAACATGCCGAATAGGAAGGTCGTGATAGCTGGTGCGGCTTTTATTTTCATGTATTTACTAACTGAAGACCGCAAAAGTCGGAAGCGTCGATGGTGAAAAACTAATTTGTATAAAAGAAGATCTTCTTTACTTGTGGAACTAAAACCTCAACATATAAGTGGTCAATATAAAAACTTTACCCGGATGTCACCTACTGACTTCGAATATTTGTTAACAATCATTGCGCCTAAAATCAAGACAAGACATTATAATGAGATCTGCAACTTCACCGCAAGATAGACTGGCTGTAACACTAAGATTTTTGGCAACAGGAGATTCATTTACAAGCCTTCAATACACCTTCAGAATTTTCAAAACAGTCAATCTCTTGCATTGTACCAGAAGTTTGTGAAGCGATTATAAAATTTTTGGATTTTGGATCCCAAATAACAGGTTTTTCTTGATACAAACTAATAAGTTCAAGCGATTGTTCGTCACTCCACATCATGAACGTACATACGACACAACCGTCATGAACGCCGTCCAAACGAGCACTGCGAGCGTCTTTGTGTTCGCGCGAAAAACCGACAGCCGATGGATCAACCCCGAGCGCCGCGCGAGCGTTACATGTAATGCTCGTAGTGCCGTCCACACGTAGAATTCGTGTTACATTACACGGTGGATTACATTACACGTTACACTCGTCTGGACCCGGCTTTATAGGGCGAGGTGTCACACACACTACAGGATTGCACGTGAATCGTAAAGTCAAAGTCAAAGCATTTATTTTAATTAAACCATAATTTGGTATATTTGAAACGTCAACAAATACAAAATAAAATACGAATGGAGAAGAACGAGCAAGAAACTCCATCCCTTACTCGTTTTTAAAAAAAGTTCTACAATGTCTCTGATTGATTCCAATATTGTACGTATATGTGAGAACAATGCAAAGACACGCTTGACGCATTATACAAATTACAAAACTTACTAAAATAAAAAACAAAACAAACAACTTGTACTCTCTTCCCGCGAATGTCGTAAAAGCCGAATTAGGGACTCCAGATTTGACAGAGACCGTACAGCAGCGCTCTCTGATAAACCTGAACCTTTTACTCTGCGATCTCCAACCTGTTTTAATTATCAAGTGTGAACGTCATGGTAAACACCTCTTTTGTGAGCTGCGGAGGACTTAACGGGTTGCCGGGGCTCCGGCTCGAAGGGCAGGAGTGGGAACGGGGTGGTTTCTAGTCAGTAAGAGACTGACACTCCCTCCCGCCTCACCCAGGCGGGAGAAGACATTCGATGATTTTCCCTCCTTAAAAAAACATCTCTTTAGAGAGACGGTCTCCGCTGTAGAGGAGACCCAAAGTCCAAAGTAATAAATGAATATTGAACTCTAATACTGCCTCGTTGGCCGAGTAGTCGCACTTGGCAAGGGGTCTCGGGTACGATTCCCGGGTCGGGCAAAGTACTGTTACTGGGTTTTTTAAAACTTCTCAGTAATAGCACGGGGTCTGTTATTGTGCCCGGTATATGACAATAGACTCACCCCCTATTGCATGGGACTCATAAATAGTGAAAAGTGGGTGTACCATAATGTGCACCTCTGACTATCCCTTCGGGAATAAAAGGCGTGATATTATAAACTACAACATCAGTGGTCACTGAATGTCATGACAATAGCATTCACATAGCGATGCAAACTCAAATCGGCCTTGTCGAATCATTAGCGTAGTTAGTTCACGGTATATTATACTCTGTACCCTTTGTTATAAAGCTGATAGTTATAAGGGACTTCTAGTTTTATTGCACTTTAGAATTAGGTCCGTGTGGTGACGGACATTAGGTTTGTCACCACCGTAGCCTGCACGCTGGTTTCGTACGCGCCGACTAAGGAACTACATATTTAAATGAAAAATACCGGGTAACACCGCTTTCTAATTATATTAAAAAAACTGCCTCGTATGCCTCCGTATTCTCGCCCGTCATTGAAGAAAGAAAGAAGGAAAAACCATTTATTTTTGCGCAAAACACAATTAAAAAATAAATTAAAAAAAAGCTAAAAATTTTAAATGAAGTGAAAACTTGTCCATGGTCCACAGACTTATTATTCTCACATTGGTCAAGATTATTCTCACAGCCAGTGACATGTCGGGCTGCGATCGAGTGCACTTTGATCTTTCGAATTGGGAACTTGCCAACTAATCAAATTCAATACTTTTTTCGAACTGTCAAAAATTAATTTTGCACGAGATTGTGTATTGTGACGTCACGTTTTATGAGCGTCAAACAGCTTACTTATTTGTTAATTTGCTGGGAAAATATTAAAATTATTAAGTTGGTCATAAAATCAAATTAATGAAAGTGTGATTATTTTTAATATTTTATTGTATTGAACTGAGGAAATAATTTATTCTTGATTAAGGAAAGTACCGCAATTCGGTACTAATTTCAATCTAAAATCGATTCTATTCTAAAATCGGATTATTGTCGATTTTTGACATGACTTTGAAGTTTCTGTCAAAAATAGTTAAAGATTACTGACTTAAGCTCCTAACTTTTTTTTTATGGTATAAGCCGGTAAACGAGCGGACGGATCACCTGATGGTAAGCGATCGGCGTTGCCCATGGACACCTGGAACACCAAAGGCGTTACAAGTGCGTTATGGGTCTTTTGGGAATTACCTCGTTGAGTACCGTCATAATAGACACAATTATAGAACAATAGGTTGCGGTCACCGGTGACCGCTCGGTGTTTGACAGTTTAAGAGTTTGAGGATCGTTGGGATTCAGGAATTGGGGAGATTGGGGAAGGGGAGGGTAATTGGGCCTCCGAACTACAACAAAACCTGGACCGAATTTCAGACCAATATCTCGATACTGCAAGAACGTGGAATTAGGTGACGTTTATGTAGTCTAGTACAATCTTGTATATTAAAACCTATTCGGACGCGTTTCAAGACGCGAAATCGACTACATAGATGGGTTGATCAAGTAAAGACCACTTTGGGCATGCCTCTGCATGAGCGCACAAAGCCGGACATGTCTCTCGGCTCCATACTCCCTACAGCAACTGATTCGGAGACTGGCAAAAATGATATGACTGAGAAGCTTAATACTTCATTACTAACTAACTGAATTAAATTAGATTAGTAGATTGCATTTGTGTCACCTTGTAGTTGTCATGCTCACTTAAAGGTCTCATTGGCAGTGGCACGTGCAGTAGATCGCTCGATTCCCTATAACATGGTTGAGTTGGGAGGTGCTGGTGTACGTGTCATGTTCGTGAACGGGCGCTGTCAAATGGGACTGGTCAGCTCCAGACTGTACCTATTAAATTTGTTGTCCTCAAGGTTATTTTCTTTTTCCGGCTCCTTGACCAAATATTGGTATTCTATTGTTCTCACATAATTGAACTCAACGAAATAATATACCCAAAAATTTTTTTGTGAACATGATTGAAAAAGAGTAACCTACGGAGTTTCTTGCTCGTTCTTCTCCATAAGAATCTACACTTTGGAACAAGCAAATAGCTTCACTAGAGGACTGACCTACAGACTGACATTTTTTCTCATTATTTAATATTTAAATATTTTGTTTTGACGTTCAAAAGTGCCTTCCTGGTCTGATTGAAATAAATGATATTTGACTTTGACTTTGACATAAAAAATCTAGTGTTACGTGGCTTCTAAAACAATCAATTTGACACCTCTGCCTATCACTGCGTGGCGAATCAAGCGTAACCTAAATGAACATACATTTAGGTATGTTTTGTTATATCCAGTGAAGCAGCGTCTGTAACATAAATGTTATCAGTAATGGTTGAAGAAATTTACATTTGCTTGTAAAACTATAATAGTAGACTTCTATAGTAGTTTGTTATGCTCCAGTTGGCTGATTAAGATGGTAATTAGAATTACAATTGAATAACATACATAATTTTAGACCTGGGTCCTGATAAAGCCTTTTTTTGAGGCTGTAAATTCATTTAATGACCTCTCCCGCCTTGGGAGCATCAGACTCTTACTGATTAAAAACCTCCCGGTTCTTAATCTTGCTTGAACTGTAACCCGTTAGGTGATCCGCAGCTCCGGGTCGGGCATCAGTACTACTGGGCCCCTTCTGTTCTTAACAGAGCCCTGAACCGTCCAATTTTGTCGATACTTTCTTGCCGACAAGTAGCTGAATATATCGCTCAACATAGTACAAACAAATATTGCTGATTAGTTTTGAGAAATTTCTATGTCCCACCGGTCGAAATCATTATAATCAGACTGTAACTAACTCAATGAGAAATAGCCTCTCATTATCATCAACAGCCTATAAATGCCCACTGCTGAGCAAAGCCTCTTCTCACACGGAGAAGGTTTGAGCATTAATCACCACGCTTGCTCAATGCGGGTTGGCGATTTCAAACTTATAATTAGAAATTATAAGCCCAGGTTTCCTCACGATGTTACCTCTATATTCCTTCACCGTTTGTCAGTGGTGTCTAAATAATCTTAGATAGTACATATAACTCGGAAAAGGTCACATTGGTACTTGCCGTTGGTAGGTTTCGAACCTGCACCCTCATGCATGAAAAGCGGGCGTCTTAAACCTCCGGGCCACCACGACACGAGAAATAACCTCTAGTCACAAACAAAAACCGTTTCTAAACCTCTTAAAAATGTAACCAACCAACAAGACGGCACGGTTGGTGCGGTGGGTGGGCAACCTGCTGCCGCGCAACGTGTCGCGGGTTCGCTTCCCGCACAGAGAAACTCTGTGTGATCCACAGATTGTCTGGGTGTCATGTGTAAGTGAACTTGTAGGTTTGTTGACGCACCCACGACACAGGAGAAAATTCAAGTGTCTAACGTATTTTAAAAAAGCATTCAGGAGTATTAAATCAATGTTACTAAATAACTAGACAGAATGTAAATAGGTCACAAGACTCTATTTTACAATCATCTACCTATCTACCAACTTCTCATTATCCTCGTGTGATAATAATTGTATTTCGTTATTTCCAGATGACCTGGACATATCTCCAGACTTCTTCGAATATTTCCTCGGCACTTATCCTCTTCTGCTCAAAGATCCATCGTTGTGGTGAGTATTGAAATAAAAAACTCATTACAATTTACATAATTATGTCACTCGGAGGCTTCAAGGCCAAGCTTCTTCAAGGCCCGAGTGAATAGGTTGCTTATGGGACGACTTACTCCATCGTAGACCGCATCATTGCTTACCGCCAGGCGAGATAGTGCTCAAACGTCAATTCACCAAATAAGAAAAAAAAACTCTTCGCTGCCGACTTTAGTTAAACGGCGAAACCCAACGCAAATTTTTTCACATTTATTTTCTGTGAGGCCGTGGTATCAGTTCGTGCCGGCTGACATGTGAACTAAATATTGCTATTGAAAATTTCACTTAATCATATATGTATATAATTATATAATTCTTCTTTGAGTGTGTATGTTATTGAACTTCTCTCAAACGACTGGACCGATTTTGATGAATTTTTTTGTGTGAGTTCAAGTGGATCTGGAAATGGTTTAGATACACAAATCAGCCCGGCAGATGGCGCTCCAGTCGATGTTTAGGTTATTTATCCTAAACAGCTGAACTAATTTGAATGAATTTTTGTTTATACATTCAATTGGATATGCAGGACAACGTCTGTTGGGTCCGCTAGTCAATTATACATTTTTGTCTCCAGGTGTATATCAGCATGGAACGACAACGGCAAGCTGGAAGTGATAGACATGTCTCGTCCTGATTTGTTGCATCGCACCGACTTCTTCCCCGGCCTCGGTTGGGTGCTGCGGAAGGAGATGTGGCAAAAACTGGCTCCAAAATGGCCGACTGCGTGAGTAAACCCTCATCTTTTACAAGATTTTATTTAGTTTCATTATTTTCTTTTTTCCCTGGTTCAGCGCCGCCTATGGACACCCGCAACACCACAGGAGATACTAATGTATTGCTAACCTTTTTGGGGATTAAAAATTGGAGGATTGGAGATTTGGGGATGGAGTATGGGAGAGATGGAACTATAATGTCTGAGTTGTGGTTTTATTTCAGTTTCTTCGACGACTGGCTGCGGAACCCAGTGAATATAGATGGTAAGGCCTGTATCAGGCCTGAGATATCCAGGACATATTCTTTTGGAAAGGTAAGCAAATTAATTGAATTACACGACTAACGTAACTAAACTAAATAATAATTTGTGGTGTACCGAAACGCAATATTGTCTATTGTTCAGTGTTCAGTTATTGGTCTGTAGTTAATGAAACTGGTAACACTATGAATTACGCGTGATGTCACTGCAGGATTTTATTAAAGAGCCCCAGTGTTGTTCGAAACTAATCGGACATCTCCGAAATTACTATTTATACATAAATAACCCATACATTGACGTGGATCTTATTTGCTGTTTGTATGTTTACAGGTGGGTGTAAGTAAAGGTCTGTTCTTCGACCTCCACCTCAGGAACATACAGCTCAACATGGAATATGTGGAGTTCACCAAACTCAACCTTACGTACTTGCTCAAGGTAATACCAATATTTTTATAATAACTATCGTGAGACATACTAAATTAAGTAAAAACGCGGGTTACTCACGTGAATATACTGAGAAAAGCTCTACTAGTTTCGAACCACAGAGGGGTACTTCCTCATGAGCAGCGTGCGTGGTCGCGGCGACGTCGCGCAGCTCACTGTGAGCCAGTGAGCTGCGCGACGTCGCCGCGACCTAGTAGAGCTTTTCTCAGTATATTCACGTGAGACCCGCGTTTTTACTTAATACCAATATTATAATTTCTAACATATTTATAATTAAATTGTTATTTAAACTGTCAAACACCAAGCGGTCACCGGTGACCGCAACCTATTGTTCTATAATTGTGTCTATAATGACGGTACTTGACGAGTTAAGTGTGGGAGAGCCATGCTTCGGCACGAATGGGCCAGCTCGACCGGAGTGATACCACGGCCTCACTGAAAACCGACGTGAAGCAACGCTTGCGTTGTGTCTCGTCGTGTGAGTGAGGTTACCGGAGGCCCAATTACCCTCCCCTTCCCCAATCTCCCCAATTCCTGAATCCCCAACCATCCTCAAACACCTAATCCCCAAAAGGCCGGTATCGCACTTGCAACACCTCTGGTGTTCCAGGTGTCCATGAACGACGCCGATTGCTTACCATCAGGTAAGCTTGTCAGCTCGTTTACCGGCTTATGCCATAAAAAAAAAATTAAAGGTCATTTCAATATCTCTGTAACTTGTTTATGGTCAAAATGTAATGAGGATAACTCAGTAAGTTTGCGCAAACATTGAAGCGCATTGCGCAAAACAGTTGCGCAAAAAATGGTTTGAGTTTAGCGCACGAGGTTTTACTTTGTAACCTTAAACTTCAAAGTTTGAGCAAAATTTAGATAACTATAGTATTAAACTAGCTGTTACCTACGACTTCGGGTAGAATATGAATTTTAGGACATAACTTGTTTGTTTCAATTTCCCAAAGTAAACGTAGCCTAGCAAGCGTGGTGATTAATTCTCAGCGTGGTGAAATGCTCAAACCTTCTTCGTGTAAGAAGTGGCTTTGATCAGCAGTGGACATTTATAGGCTGTTGATGATGATGATGTTACTCCTTACTACATCAGCTAACTGCAAATAAAAGTCCCGTCATAATCTGACCAGCCATTCCAGAGATTAGTCAGTACAAATAGACAGACAAACAAATATTGTGCACGTAGGAAAAAGCGGTTATCTTAATATTACAAACGGATTTAGGCTCCCCAAAAGGCCGGCAACGCACTTGTCAGGCAACGCATCTCCTCAGGTGTTTTGTGTCTCCATGGGCGGCACCGACTGATTGCCATCAAGTGATTCGTTTGCTCATTTAAACGATAAAAAACCTTTAAAAACAATTAATCTAATATTGATTCATTTTAACAGGATCACTACGATGACACTCTAGCATCGACAGTATACAACCTGCCCGAGATGTCTGCAAGTGAAGTAGTGGCCAGCTCGGACCTGAGTTCGGATCCCGTGCGGGTCATGTACAGCAACGCCAAAACATACCAACGCGCCGCCAAGAAACTGGGACTCATGGATGATTTTAGGGTACGTTGGTTATACACAGTAAAATGTAAATGTATATTATGTTCTTCCGAGTTATAAGTACTTTCTAAGATTATTTAGACACCACTGACAAACGGTGAAGGAAAACATCGTGAGGAAACCTGGACTTACAATTTCTAATTTACATCAACACATCAACAGCCTATAATTGCCCACTGCTAACCAAAGGCATCTTCTCACACGGAGAAGGTTTGAGCATTAATCGCCACGCTTGCTCATTGCGGGTTAGCAATTTCAAACTTATAATCAGAAAATATAAGCCCAGGTTACCTCATGATGTTTTCCTTCACCGCTTGTTAGTTTTTTTTTAAACGTTTCGTTCGTAAATCCCCCAGGAATTTCTCCCGTGTCGCGGGTGCGTTTACAAACATACAAGTTCACATACACATCACACCCAGACCCGAAACAACAATTTGTGGATCACACAAAGTGTTGTTCCGTGCGGGAATCGAACCCGCGACACGTTGCGCGGCAACGTTGTTTGATCAGCAGTGGGACATTATTTAAAATGTTATGTATTTTTTTTACCTCATTTCAGAGTGGAGTCCCTCGCACAGCCTACAGAGGAATAGTGACGTGTTTCATAAGAGGACGTCGAGTATATCTCGCGCCCTCCTTCGAGTGGAACAAATACGACCCCACGTGGGGCTAACGAACACTCCACGTCACTATCTACACCCCATAGCAGAGCTAACTAGGTGGTATGTTAATATGAACTTTAATGCCATTAAAACAAAATTGTTTTTGAGTTTGTAATATGTATTGGGGCTAACAAATACGAGCCCAGAAAGTAAACAGAACTTTAATATTGTTTGAATAAAGTTTATTTTAGGGTGTCTTAACTAAAATACAATTCTTTACAAAAATATACAATATTTGAGGAGGTTGCCACATTAGTTTTCTCGTAACTGCTTAATTACGTCTCTACGTCAGTCGCAACTTCTTAATCCTGACAAGATTATGGACCCCGTCATTGTCTGAAACTAGTCGAGCACTCCTCGAACGGAATTCTTTTAAAAATGGCAACGTATTTGTAACTCCTCTAATGTAGTGGGTGTCTATGGGCAGTGTCGATTGCTTACCATCAGGTGATCCGCCTGCTCGTATGCCTATCACATAAAAAATGCAATCTAATGTTTCTGTCCATATAATTTATATGTTTGAAGTAAATCATTTATGGTCATAATATTATATCACTATTGTAATACCCGGTACGCAAGTATTTTCACGTATTTCTATGGTTAATGCCATCATTTAGAGTTCAAATGTTTTAACCTCTCGCGCGTCTCGTACACGGGTTTAATAGAAAGCGAATGAAATTATTCTGTTCAATCAAATAAAGAACAGGTTGCAACTTGAAAATATACATCACAGAAAAAGTTTCCAATCGGTGCGCGTTTCTCGTACACCCGTGTGTAAAGTTGCGGCGATGGGCACTCAACTCTCTCGTGTGTACAAGAAACGCGCGAGAGGTAGAGAAAATTAAAAATTAGAAAATTATCATTTTGTATGATTGTCCGCAATTGTCTCATGATTAGCTGTACCGATTTTGATACGATACCTGAAATGTGTTTATTACATTTACTAGCGACCCGCCCCGGCTTCGCACGGGTGCAATATGCATGTATTATACATACAAACCTTCCTTAAGAATCACTCTATCTATTAAAAAAAACCGCATCAAAATCCGTTGCGTAGTTTTAAAGATCTAAGCATACATACGGACATACAGCGAAAGCGACTTTGTTTTATACTATGTATTCATTAGCTGGTTTTGTCGTATTTATTCAGTAATAACTGGCTTTAAAAAAAGGAAGTTGAAGTCGATGTTTTTATCTTATTCCTACGTTAAGTTTCTACTAAATAAATATTATTACAACTAAATGACAGCAATATCCATAGAATTATATGTAAATACACAACACGCGAATGCTCGCCACGACAAAGACTTACTGTTAACTAAAAATTACGAATTCCTCACTCAAATATACTGAGAAAAGTATGTAGTAAACGTAGACATAAAGAGGTAGACAAGTCCTCAGCGTATGCAGTTTGAGATAGCGATAGTTTTTTTTAAACATTGCCCCACTTTAGGATTTTCTCCTGTGTCGTGGGTGCGTTTACAAACATACAAGTTCACGTACACAATGACACCCAGACCCGGAACAGCAATTTGTGGATCACACAAAGTTTTGTTCCGTGCGGGAATTAAACCCGCGTCACGTTGCGCGGCAGCCGGTTGCCCAGCCATCGCAATCGTGCAGTCATTGCAGTTTGACATAAGTACTTATCGATGAAAGGTTATGTTTAATAGTTCATTTCGTTCACTACGACTTTTACAGCCATATATTCAACAATAGGGATGATGACAGGGTATGAGAATTAAAAATCTAATTAGTCCGTCAGTTAGGTAATGAAAAAATATTGTATTAGACACGTATTTTTTATTTTGTCTTAGATAGAAAACAATAGTTAGATAAAACGAATCAAAGTTTAGGAGTGGGAAGTAGCTACGTCATTTTAGAGTATAAATCGTACTCAAAAGTGACGTCATGCGATGTTTCAAATCAATATATCTTCGAAATTATTCGTTTCCGTAAGAAAATAAAAAATACGTGTGTAATGTTTTTATATAATCTACAAGACGGACATTAAAATAAATATTAGTCATCTACCCTATTCACTATCACGAGACACTAAATATTACCTTTTGGTATGTCAATAAAGTCTCAAATTACACAAAGTACGCGTTTCATATTTTAAATAGGGTAGATGCCTAATTTTCATTTTAATGTCCGTCTGGTAGATTATTTTATATCATTAGACACGTATTTTTTATTTGTCTTACAGAAACGAATACTTTCGACGATGTATTAATTTGAAATGTCGCGTGACGTCACTTCTATGTACATTTTATACGTATAAATGACGTTTTATCCCCACTAGTAAACTTTGATTCGTTTTATCTAAGTATTATTTTATTATATGACAAAAAAATACGTGTCTAATATTTTTTCATTGCCTAACTTACGGACTAATTAGATTTTTAATTTTCATACCCTGTCATCATCCCAATTCAACGAAAATATTCTGACACCACAGTTTGTCTGACTGTGATGGCAAGTAACAAAAAAACGAAATGCAAATAGAGTCAAGTAATATATGCGATGTCCTGCTCACACATACACATTTTGACACGTGTCATCTTAATCTCGCATCTAAGAGCATGTCTACCTCTATTCTCTGTCTATAGTGGTAAATAGTTTCAGAGTCACAAAAGGATTCTTCCTCAAAAATTTTCCGTGAGCAACTCGTAATTACTAGTTAATTGGGTACTTGCCTTGATCAAAAATAAATTATTTCGACTGTTCAATACAATGAAATATTAAAAAAATACTCACACTTTCATTAATTGATTTTACGACCGATTTAATTTTAGTATTTTTCCAGCAAATTATTAAGAAATAAGTATGATGTTTGAGGCTAAAAAAACGTGACGTCACAATACACAATCGCGTACAAAATTCATAGAAAACTGTCGTTTTTGACAGTTCGAAAAATGTATTGAATTTGACCAGAGGCCTTAATACAAGTTTGTTTGACGCTTAAAGTAACGAAAACGTTGCTTCATTGGTCCCGGCCAATCAGAGTGCCAAACGCGTACTCGTTTCGAATACTTTAAACGTAATCAAACTCGTACTAAGGCTTCAGTTCGCAAGTACCCAATTCAGCATGTCTCAAGATATTTATCATAAAAATAAAGTCTTACCATGTCACGTGTCGCGGACTATATCTACTACTAATAAATAAATAAATATGTAAATATAATCGAGTTTGTACTCGTAGTCTTTTCGAATATTTACACTATATTGGATAACATTTAAAATTATAAAGAAGGAACTACACTATTCATAGTCGTATTGTGAAAATAAGTTTTCTTGTGTGAGCTGAAATTGTTAGGATAAAAATTAATTTTTAAAACCTTAAATAACATTTTGAAAGGGCACATCCACAGCCTATTTGTAGCCTGACTGATGTAAACAAATATTTTACATCGTCTCAAACTTTTAAGTGTGGGAGAGCCATGCTTCGACACGAATGGGCCGGCTTGACCGGAGTGATACCACGGCCGAGCTGAAAACCGACGTGAAACAACGCTTGCGTTGTGTTTCGTCTTGTGAGTGAGGTTACCGGAGGCCCAATTACCCTCCCCTTCCCCAATCTCCGCAATCCCTGAATCCCCAATGATCCTCAAACTCCTAATCCCCAAAAGACCGGTAACGCAGTTGTAACGCCTCCTGTGTTCCAGGTGTCCATGGGCGACGCCGATTGCTTACCATCAGGTGATCCGTCTGCTCGTTTACCGGCTTATACCCTAAAAACAAAAACTTTCGCATTTATAATATTATTAGGAACTTAGATAAAATTTTGGTACCATTTTCTCGGTTTTCGAGATTTATTTATTTATTAGGAGATAAAAAACAAGTAGAGGTACGTATTAAAATGTTACATGAAAAAAGGTATTACATTAAAAGGTATTACATTAAAAAAGGTATTTTCAGAAAACCGACGTGTAACACGCTTGCGTTGTGTTTCGCCCTGTAAGTCAGGTTACTGGAGCCCCAATCACCCCCTCCCCCAATCTCCCCAATCCCCGAACTCCAATCTTCAAATTCCTAATTCCCAAAAGGTTGGTAACGCCTTTATAACGCCTCTGCTGTTTCATGTGTCCATGGGCGACGTCGATTGCTTACCATCAGGTGATCCGTCTGCTCGTTTACCGGCTTATACCATAAAAAAAGTAAATATGTAACCCACTCCATTGGCCACAATGTGGTTTAAACATGAAGTAGGCCGAGTAGTCCCAAGTGCGAATACCTCCGGAGTCGCGGAGAACCTAACGGGTAACCGGGGCTCCGGCTCGACGTGCAGGAGAAGGAACGGGGTGGTCTTTAGTCAGTAAGAGTCTGACACTCCCTTCCGCCTCACCCAGGCGGGAGCAGCCATTCGATGATTTTCCCCCCTTAAAAAAAAAAATAAAAAAAAAGTGCGAATACCGGTCTAGAGGGTTCGGGTCGGGCCAAGTATTACTGGGTTTTTAATAATTCTTAGTAGTAGCACGGAATCTAGGATTATACATGGTATATGGCATTAACCGCCGTAATGTGCACCTCTGCCTACTGAGATAAAAGGCGTGATGTTATGTTATGTTTTAGTAATTTAACAATTTAGCTCACACAATGCAACTTAGTTTAACTGCTCATAATATACTTAAATAACATTGCATTAAAGCCATATTTTGATTAACAAAACCTCTCTTTGACGGGTACTCTTACCCGACCTTCACGCATAATTTATAAATTATTTCTTTTAAACAAATCTTGTCCAGACAATAATGAACATGACAAAATAATACACGATTTTGTGCTCCCCACATGGTGCTCATGTCTCATTTCATATTTGTCCAATCACTGTAGCTATCGAAATTGATTGTCCAATGGTTTATTTGAATTTGAATTGTAATCTTTATTTCAAGCTCAGAGCTCATAAATGGTTAGTAACAATTTTTTTATACAACTAGTGTTAGTAAAACAAATTTGATCATCAATTACAATTACAATTATTATACAATCAGATTTCATTAAAAAACAAATTATAAATGTCATTGAAAAATAAAAATGTATGTAAAATTGAAATTGAATTAAACTAAAATAAAATAAAAACAATAATAAAATACATTAAAATAAAAATGGATGTAAAATTAAAATAAAATTAGAATAAAATTGAAAAATAAATATTAAAGACAAAATTACAATAACAAAACATTAAATATAACGTGAGAATCCACTAGCATGCAACTTCATCCATACCTTTAAAAGGGGCAGATCCCATCGCTCGGACAATACCCTCAGCATGCTATTAGTGCTACCACGCAGGCGATCAAGAAGTGAAACGCCCCGCTTTCTAATTATGGCGAAAAAATCATCAGTTCGTGCTTCAGCAAACATAGCTGAAGCACTACAAAACCTTGGTAACCCCAACAGCACCCTGAAGGCACTGTTGTACTGTACACGCAGTGCGCTATACGCCCGCTGCGTGTAGTTGGCCCACAAGCTGCACGTGTAAAACGATTGGCAGTAAGCCTTGAACAAGGTCACTTTTACTGGCGGAGTACAACGTGCAAACCTACGAGCCAACATATTACACCGGACGGACAGCGCCCTGCGCTCCCTGTCAATATCCATGTTATCACACAAATCGTCAGTGACCCAGTGGCCCAAGTATTTGAAATGCGTCACCCTCTTAAGCGGTGTGCCACACAGAATAACCGGAGGTACA